TATGTCATAATCTGTTTCGTATCATTCCCAGAATTTGAAATTGTTGCGTCCTTATACTCCTTATTTGTTAAAGGCAAAAAAAGATTAAAGGGAAAAATAACTCCGAAACTCATTAAAAAATAAATTTAATAGATACAATGATCGAATTGGTGTTTAGATTCATAGCCACTCTTTCGCGTACTTATTACGTAAATATCTCAGCCAAAATGTTCCTAATTCGGTCAGTTTGAAGATCGCCGCCACTCTAAAAAGGCCTGTGAAACCATAAGCAAGGAAAAATTAAATGAGTTACCTAATCTGTAATTCACTTAACCCATGATCTTGCGCATCATAGTGAATGCTCAACACTTCGGTTATCATTGCGCCATTCATCATTATTACGCCCTTGTTAATTGACGTATATTACTAGTTTGGATTTATTGTTAATAAGCTAAATTTATTTTTGTAGGTATCCCCTAATTATGGTCAATTTAAGCCCCGTAAATCATTTTCTAATATGATGGATTTGTACGGTCGCTAAACTCAATTTGAATACAATAATTATTGTCATCTGAATATTGCCAACAGATGCATACCCTAACTGTAGTACTCCCAATCAGATATTGACAACTGTTTATTATCGGATGAGAGTACGGCTTTGCGCCTTAACTAGTTAAACAAATACTGAATGTAAAATATAGTCTTTATTTAGAAGTGGAATTTTCCGGACACGTGAACAGGCGATCACATGCCCAATCTCAGCCGACTTTCCGAAATGCGTGACGTATTCTGATTATTTCAGATCATTTCAGATCAGAATTAAAAAATACGGAATACTTTAAATATGCGGATAATAATATATGACATGAAAAATATATGACGCGAATAATATGACGTGAAACAAATTTTATTAATCAATTAAAAAAAAAAAAAAAAAGTATTATTAATAATGTTGAATCTGTACTATTATAATTTTAATTATGTATTAGTAAATTTTTTTAATTGGTATTAATCGATATTGGTAGCTAATCGATGCATAATCGATTAAAAAATAATCGATTTTAATTTGGTTTTAATATCAACTGATTTCAATCAAAGCGATCCTAATCGATTTTAATTAGCAACTTTGTTGTCAATCGATTCTAATCAGTATCGGCAGGGTGCTGCTTATCGGTTGACATTTCTTTCTGTCAATTGATTACCAAAATTTTTCTGATGTTAATAATAGTTTATTTTTTTTGAAAAATAGGTTTATAAAGAAAATGTGCATGTATAGGAGGTGACTATAGAGAGGTTTGACTGTATCTTTAATAATTTAAAATACATATAAATTTTAAATTTTAAATATATTAATTAATTATATATGAATATTTTATTATATTTAAAAAAATAATATATTTATTTAAAAAAATCTATTAATATAATTTTAACTTATTACTATCTAAGAATTTTTGTAATAAATATAAAAGTAATATTTGTCGTGGATCATAATGAAATCGGATTAAAATTAAAAGATGGGTTCTATTTGGCCCACTAAAACCAATTATTTGTTAATTATAAATTCTACCCTTAAATCCTAACTCTAACCCTAAAAAAATGCTAGAAAAATGCACCTAAAATTTTGTATTCTTCGTTGGTTGTCTATTTGACGCTATCACATATTTCATTAATCTGATTTCATTTTAATCCTTATAAAATTTCGCAAAAACTTTTTTAAGATATATTATTAATTTTATAACTTGAAAAAATAATTACTGTATATGTATATGAATATTGTACATATACGTACAGAGTTTTAATTACTAAATATATATATATAACAAATTTACTGTCTAGTTCGGTGCTGCTTCATCAACACCAACAGGTATATATTTTTAATAAATTGTCACTTAGCGTGATTCGACTAATTAGCTATCGATGAAATGATTATTGAATTACGTAAGGTAGAATCTTATATTTTCTAACCAAATCTAATTATATAATATACACGTGTTACTGGATATAATGACATTTAAATCTATAACTTATATTTAAAATGAAAATGCTTCTGGGTAAGCTGAAATCTGAAATATATCGGTCCATATCTTTATTTTTGGAGAATATAACCAGAGTGATTTTTAATATACAAAATATACTATTATATATAATGAACTTTTATATTTTAAATACATGTAATAATACACTTATATAAAGTTTATGTTATTTCTAAAAAGCAATTTTAGTAATATGATACTATAAATAATATCTAAAAATTTTTCGTGTCCTATATCAAATCTAAGTTCTTTATGACTCATCATAGCGAAGGCAAGTTGCTCCAATGAAATTTCGTAGTCCTAACGTTAAATATAATACTGATAGCCTTAAATCACCTGCTCAAAGTTTGATTTGCTCAAGAGACCGAATCCGAGCTGTTACAGCGCCTCTATCATCTCATTTTCTAATTATCCAATCATAAATCATCCAAGCAACTCTCTCAATGTGTTCTGATAGTGATTGAGATGATTCTCAACTATTACAATTAATCGTAATAATGATTGCAATCATTGTTTGAGCAAACCATCCTTGCTTTACTCTATTATCGTTGTCTTCAACAAATCGTAACAAAAAAAAAAAAAAAGAAAAAAGGTGACTATCCAACAAGCAATTGTAACTCCTTTGGCAGCACCTCGACAAACAAATGTAACTTTGGCAACATCAAGTGCCCAATTTCATCTCTTACAAACTTTACGCAACAATATTCACAGCTTTTGCTCTTTTAACTTCGAGCAAAACCAATGCCGAAAATAATGATGCATTCAATTACTGAAAAGTTTAATAAAAAGTTAATTATTTTTGACGTAAAAGTTAGGAAATAACAGTTGTCAGCAAGTTTTGCTCTTTGAATTTCCTGGAATTTTTATTAGCGATAAGTGTTTCGAATATAAAAAGCAACGCAATAATTTTTTGACGATTATAATTTCGCTAAAGATCCATGACGTAAGGCAAAGTGCTTGAACATCTTTAATAAACAGTTTTGATCAATCAGCGTTGACTCTGAAAAAAGACTAAACTTTTTTCAGTGAAGTGGCAAACCACTTGATCAATTTTTTTGGCCCGACTATTTAAAATTTTATTTCCGATCAATTGATTTAGGCGTTTGAGAACACCCTTATTTATTAAAGAAACTTTATCGTTATAATTTTTTGATAAGTGATAACAATAAGATTTTTAAAGACTTTAATCGAAATGTTTTAAGGTTATTCTCAAGCAGCTCCCTCAATGAGATTTGCATTTCGATTAATCGAAATGAATTTTGCTAAATCTCACCGCAGGTGATCATCGTCGCACATAGTTTTTTGCTAAAATTTAGAGTTAAGGTTAGGGATAGGTATATTAGTTTAAATTTTAGTTAGGGTAAAATTCTAAACATTTTTACTTAGAACCCCTAACCCAAATTACTTAGTACATTTTCGTTGCGGTGATACAGTAATCACCTGCGGTGAGATTTAGCAATACCCAATCGAAATTATTTAATTGAAATGATTTTGCCGGAAATTCATGCGGATTTTAAATTTTAGCTAATCAGAGTAACTCTATGAAAAAAGATGGTTGTTAGGTCGAGGTGCTTGAACAACCTAAACGCAATAGTCTATGAAATAGGATGTTTAATTACATGTACAATTCTTATTGGTCCCGATTATTACATGTCATTTTGAACACACTCTGCAATGAATAAAATCTCCAGAAGAGCCTTTTTCAATAGAGAAGCAGCTGTATAATTGAAAATACACTTAAAGAAAATTTTACTATAACTGTGAATAAATAAAAGTCATTCATTTCTTTTATAAAATAGATTTTACTATTTGATATTACCATAACAAGAATAATGCATTATTTGGCAAAAACAAATAGCCCAAAATAAATGCTATGTTTGCTCGTTAATTTGTCATACTGTGTTTACTCCGTTTTCGAGAATTTTTTTCTTAGAGGTGTTTTTTTTGGAAGGCTTCAAAGAGGTTCGAGTCTTCGGGCGTACTTTGAAACGCATCACACAATCATCCATCATTGATAATTTCACAAAATTTATGTTATTTTTATTTTATATGAGTTGACTTTTACAGAGATCATTGCGTTTCATATATGCAAATATATGTGTCCTTTTTTCATTGGGTCACAAACTTTAATACCAATCTTATGTGTGAAAATTGAGAATTATTATGGTTTCTAATATTTCATATATTAATGTTAATACGACGTCATAATAAAAACGCCCATACTAATTTATCTTATTTGAGACAACTTCGACTCTTTAATGACTTTGGCAAAAGTAATTTTAGATTTTGTTGCCATCGGTTTAAATAGTGCATGATTACCACATGTAATGATAAATTTCGCGTTGAATCTCTTTGATACTCTCCTTAATGCAACTTCTACAGGCCATACTTTTGACAGCTTGCATTTAAAGAACAATAAGAAAAAATGTTCATTAATCGAATTCTGATGTGTATTTGGGCCAGAATTAAAGTTGCATTTAGAGAGATGTTGCATTTAGGGGTTGCATTTGGAGGAGTCCGATTTTCGGTCTCCTCCCGATCAAATTTTTTCAAATCAAAATTAGTAAAATATATTACTGTAGATATAAAAGATCGAACGCCAGCGGATATTTTTGATAGTGAAACAAGCATCATTGTCAATATCATTGTTTATTAACAATCAATGTTACCAAATTTATTAATGAATTATGTACGAGCAAATCAATTGCAAATTTTTCGGCTGTTTTTATTTACTGGATTGGGCACAGTGAATGTAAATTGGAGCAGTTTCAGGAAAGAATTATCTATGAATTAATGTCTAGAAAAATGAAAATGATTTCATATGTTTCATAAATAGCCAAATATGTAAAAACAAAGCGTAGGCTAATTGTGCATATTTTTTACTAATTTGGATGTATATAATTTTTGTATGCTCTTTTATTAATATATATAACACTGCCATTGTTCATTGTTTTCTACCATTTTTTTATGATAATAAGATTTTCAGTCATGTCATCACCTACCCCCTACCATTCATCGAACTTATCTCCATCCGACGCATTCACCTTCCTTGATTTGAATCAAATTTTTCCACCACCCCCGCTTAATGATGTTCAAGGATTTGTGTCACAAAACAACGGAATACCTTTCAAATCTCTTAGAAAGCGCATATTCCGTGAGAATGTTCGAGAAGAAGCAAAAAGGCATGGCATTTACGACGTGCAATTGATGAGAACCCTTATTCTGCTTGTCTGGAGAAAGTCAACACCAGGACAAAAACATTTATATTCTCAATTTGCACGACAAATTATAACACTCATTAATAATACTCTTTCTCTGCCGCCACCACCACCACCACCCCCTCCTCCTCCTATACATCCTCTAACCACTTCACAAAACGCAACTTACGCAAATGAATTCATAAACGGAGTCTTCACTATTATCGATGAAAAACAAGACCCTACAGATGCGTTTGATTTTTCTGATGGACAGCTGAATATTTTTTGATGGTTGCTGTTTAGGTGAAACCAACTTGTTTATATAAATGGATTGTATAAGCGGATAGGAGTGTGAAACGAAAAAAATCTTTTTTTCTTTTTTTTTAGAGAATGATTTATTTTTCTTAGATATTTTTCGTCTCATTCTTTAATGATACTTATGCGATAGAATACAAAGTCTTTCTTTTCTTGTGTTATAATAATTATTTTTTTTAAAATTATTTTTCAGTTATTTTTTCTTTCGTTTTAAAATAATAAAACAAAGGTTCCGAATAAATATTATATCTCGAATTTTATTATTATCTGGGCGCAAATTTCTGTATATGATCATGATATTTAATCTAGGCTAGAAACTACAGTATGACATAACTAGTTGCGACATAAGCTTCGGCTTGTTATGGCTTAGCTGTAATAATTTCTACTGCATCTTTAGCCCGGACACAATGATAAGAAATCTGTGCTAGATGGTCAGGAGATAGCATAATTGTGTAACACTCATTTACAAATTTCGGCATTATATTATTAACATGAAAAACCACGAGCTCTTTTGAATTATGAAATATCAGTTTGCTGCTAGATTGGTTTAGTATGATTAATGATTTCTGACGAACTATTTTTGCAGCAAATAATTGTTTCGTTAATGGTTTCATCTGACAAAACCCTGACGATTGACGAAACTACTGACAATTGACAAAACTTTTGACGAAACTAATTTTATTAATAAATTATAAAATACTGTTAACTTTCTTTTAGATAAACCATAAGAGTCAGCTTTTGGCTATATTTCTGTGTTGCCTGGCGCTTTCTCGGCTTATCGATACAGAGCATTACTAAATACTGCGCCTGGTCAAGGACCTTTAGCTTCATATTTTAAAGGTGAAGCTATACATGGTTCTGGTGCAGTCAATGCTGGTATCTTTGAAGCAAATATGTATTTGGCTGAAGATCGTATCTTGTGTTTCGAACTTGTTGCTAAAAAGCAACCCTCCTAGCATGATCACCAAAATCAGTTACATAATCGCTATTTAAAATCTGTACTTAGCCAGATTCGTAACCCAGCAAATAACGACATTTTTGTCACATAAATCAAATTTATTAAAATCTTAATTACAGCATAAAATTTTTATTGCGTAAAGCCATGCTCATTCTAAATTACTCGGTGACTTCATTATCTAACTTTACATACTACAGTCTCTCTAAGTGCACCCACACCCTCTCTAAATGCACGCTCAAGTGCTGGCCCAAATATATACTTAACCTCTATAAATGCACTTTTTCTTATTATTCTCTATAAGCACGTTATTAAAGTGTGGTTCCCAAAGGCGTGCACTTAGAGAGGTCTGACTGTATAACATAAAATATTTATGAGTTTCGAATTTATTATCAATAAAAAGTATTTTTGGTTTATTATAGCAGGTATTTGAAAAGTTTTTGCCTGGTTCAGACCAGATTAGTATCGATATTAGATCATTACGACGGATTTGTAAGATTTAACTAATTTTTGGTCTCCAAATTTAAGTTTTAGGGACAAAACCTATTATTTATTTTTTTAAGATTGAACCTTCTAAAAAAATCATCAGCACTCCGATCTATAATAACAATGCGTCTAACCCATTTTTTCCATTAGTGCAAATTTTTGTACAATTCAGATAACCCACTTTAAATTTATCGTTACATATATGTACGAACGTCAATTTAATGACCGTCAGTAACATTGACAGCATTTTATGGATAACAGAAAATTTAAAAAGTATATCATCGTTAGATCAGAATAATAACATTACATATATGTGAAATCAATTAATGACTCACAATCGGTAGTCAATTTTGTAATATACTTATATCTATTACGCTGAATAATTAGTTCAATAAAAATAAAAAATTAAGCTAATCACAAAAAAATGTGATAAACATAAGAGAATCTATCCATCACCTTTCTCGCAGAGCCTTACAATTTCAATTGTTATTAAGTTTGCAGGTGATTTACGATGTTTCCTAATTGTCAACATTCTTCTTCAGTATTAGCCATAAGTTTTTATAAACTACTTCTTTGAGATCTCATACTCTGTTCTTAAAGTTTTGTTATTGCCTTATTTATACGGGTTAAGCACTCAATACTAGTGTTGTCGGTGAAACTAATTCATTTCACCAGAAAACTGGTGCACCATCGGTGCACCGTTGAAGATTAGCTTCATCTATAACTCTAGTTTCACCATCGGAGCACCAGGTTCACTAGTTTCACCTGCAACTCTACTCAATACATGTTTTTTTTATTATTTCAAATTCATTAATTTGTTTTATTATTCGACAGGATAAACAATAATTTTTATGAATATTTGATAAGAAACACTTGTTACTATGTTATAAACAGACATCGTCATATTAACATATTATCATAAACGACTAATACATTGTATCATATATTTTTTCAGTAAATGATTTTAATCGTACGTCATGCTAGGTTCGTAGCTAAAAAGTATGAAGCATGGAAATTAAAATATGTTAAGATAAGTAAATGAGCAATTAAATAACAATAACTGAGTTTATTTTTATAATTTTTTAAAAAAAGTAACTAATTTTATTTTATTCAATATTTAGTCTGCTAAAGCTGAAACTGATGTCCCAGATAATGTACCGGAATTTATTTCTCAATATCGTCGATGGTGTCACGGGCTAAATAGTAGATCGACGAATTGGCACAGTAAACTCAACTCCTACAGGGAGATCCCCAAAATTCCGGGTCGGACGCTTCGGAACTCTTGCCGGAAGGGCCGGAGTTGATCGATTTTGCCCCAAGATCACTAAGAATTTTACTAATGAAACAATAGTCGTTCATTAAG